TGACCGAGCCAATCTCCTGACATGAACCCCATCGAAAACCTCTGGGCCATACTCGACTGGCAAGTCAAGAAACAACCAAAAAACCAACTTCGAAGAGCGATCTACTCCAAGTTTTGAAGCAAGAGTGGGCGAAAATCCCATAATGTAAAATTGACAAGATGATTCTCAAGATGCCCTAAAGGATCAATGAACTTCACGAAGCGAAAGGAAGATCTACTAGATATTAATTAAATTATAAATATATCAATTCATGTGAATATGACTGAAAAAATTAATTTTTTCTGAAAAGGTGGTGTCTATTTACTTGTGACCACGCTGTGTACAGTCACTAGTATGGAAAAAATGTCAACTAAATGAATTGTGTTACATTTGAATAACTTTCAAGAGAAAAAATTTTTTAATAGAATTAATTACACTCACTAACGTTAACATTTTCCTAAACTTATTTCCGACAGATATTCTTCTCTTCACACAGAAATGCTATTTTCCTCATGCATCTGCTTATTAGATTTGCATGCCACTAGTCTTGAGCTAACTACCACCTTAATTTACATGTTTAAGGTGAACTGAGTTGGTGCATGATGATGTCATTCTGCCACAATAGCCCATGCACTCCTTCTAACTTCATTCTTAGACAAGGCAACAACAACAAAAAAAAAAAGGTGCACTGGAAGTGAGTTATCATCTCAGAATTTAACATTTTCCTAATATGAAATAGATACACACCTCTTTACACAGAAATGCTAGAATCCTATGGTGAACTGGCAGAGGAGCCGGTGCAAATACTATATCCAGATGATGAGCTCCCTTCAGAAAGTACCCAAAGGGAAAGCCCATGTATTGAGAAACCCAATGGAAAAGGCTACATTCCATAGGAGACTGTATCTCATCTCAACCAGGGTATACTCTTCACCCAGAAGATAACAGAGGGAAAGGCAAAAGAACCCTATGTGTCACAGAGATGAGCAGAATGAGATCATGAGCAATTGAGCACCTGCACACATGCAGTAGGCAAGCCAATAAATGCAGTATGGTTAGGGTATGATCAGACAGTATGGTGTGTGCTCGCCGCAACTCTACTGGATAGACTAGCTGCAGGAGGAGGACATATTAGCTGTTTGACAGGTGACCTGCACTAAAAAGATGGTGTCATCACTGCACCACTTCCCAACAGTGCTGTGAAAAATGGTGTGGAACTGTCCAAGATCCACTACCCTAACTACTAGGAACTGGTAAGTGGCAAGGAAGATGGGGGGTAGAATTCATGTTGGGAGATGCAGAGAAATGCCCAGATGTCTGCTGGAAAGGTCTTTTATTAGATACAGTGCACTGAGTGACTGCAAAACTATATTATAAAAGCCGGGAAGCACAAACCATAGAAATGGACAGTCACTTCCCTGGTGCCAACTTTTTTCATGATAGTCCATGGAATAGGTAAAGTATGGATCAGACAATTGATTAAATTTATGTACCATGATCTCCAGTGAGAAATGAACACCACCAATGACATCTGGGCAAAGAAAGGGAGCCCGACAAAGACCAAGTACACAAGGAGGAGGAAGATGTACAGTAAAGAGGAATGTAACTCAACCCAACAAGCCCAAACAGCAGGGAAACTAAGTAAGGAGTGACAGAGCAGAAGAAGTGGAACAGGCTAAGCTAGCAAAGAAAAGGGAGTGAATCTCTTCAGAAAATCCCTACGTAACACGATGAAGTGCCTCAGACAAAAGGTGGAGGAAGGAGAGGAAATACAGAAGGGTAGTGAGAAAAAAAAGAGACAAAGATGCAAAAGTGGGAAACCTAAGAGCAAACAGACGTCAAAGGGCCTGATCACCAAGTAGGCCAAATAGATACCAAAAGTCTAGAAAGGAAATTAAGTTAGAACAAAAGAATCATGAAAGCAAGGGTGATGAGATATTTGGGTGAGAGTGAGGAAAGAGCATAAACCCCAATAACAAGTAAGGAGAAAAGACAAAAAAATACCAACATTTTGGTTTATGGAGTGAAGAACAGGCAATATTAAAGTATATAGGTAAAAGAAAAGGAAATAAACATACCTGAGAATGAAATCTAAAAAGAAATTGGAAGGTCAAGGTCATTCCTCAAATGGTAAGGCACTACCCAAAGCAAACAGATTAAATTCGTAGTCCAATAGACCATTCATAACTGAGGAGAAAGAAAGCTGGCTGAAGGGAAGAGGTAGGAGGCCTAGTAAGCATGTGGTAATCCATAACACATTGAACAAATGCTGCAACATCCTTAACAGTCAACGAGCCCCTATAAGCCAGAACATAAAAATGGCCTCTGTGTGTAACATCGTCACTTAAACACGACTAAGTGAAAGTCACCATCGTTTGAGAATTCAAAATAATAATCAATGCTTTTGAAACAAAAGCCAGTGTAAAACGAAAATCACAGCTCCATTAACAAACACAAATCTCATCAAACTGATCTTAGATGAGAAACTTGAACATGTCTATTTAACCCAATAACAATGACGTGCTTCAGACTGAAGGACGTTACATAACTCTCTGTAAATTTCTTTCCGATAATAAAACCAGTGAATAAGATTGTTTATAACTTGACAAGAACTTTCATAAACTTTCATGTAGTTTGGGAACATACTTAATTTAGATTTTTAACTATTTATACCAAAAATTCTTTATTTAAAGTAGTTATTTATGCTCGGTCTCTGAATAGTTCACCTGCAAAGTGATTTTCATTTTAAGTGTAAATATATTTCTTATCTTACAGTTTTCACATTTCATTTGCATACTTTCTAGAACCTCCTAAATAAATATCAAGTTTCTTTAAGAAAAATGTTTATATTTAACATATCACTAACTCTAGCTATTATCACCAATGAACAGTGCAATGAAATGCTTAAAACTAAGAAATAGAAATATGTACATACCTTTTAACTCGTCATTGAATAATCTTAAAATATTTTCCTTTGGTCATATTCGTAATTTCACATCTTTACCTTTTCACTTATGGTATATTTTTAATGCTTTATTTTCCTTTTCTATTCTTTACCGTTGATTATTTATGTCGACACACATCAACTTGTACCCACGGGCTATAGAAAGGTACGAATTGCAGAGATACCTTAGACTCCAGCAAATTTTTTTACACATGCTTAGTAGCATAAGCCTTGCAGAATGTGGGAAGCTTTAGTTATTTTATAAAAATTATTATACCTTTCAAATATGATTTTTAAAACACAAAGAATGCATAATTAACTAAAATATAAAAGTAAAACCTAACTGTCTCTCTAACTATAACATACTTAGGTAAGAAACAACTGAAGTGCTGTCGTGAACAAATCAGCCAACAATAGTACAGGCAGTTACATCTACCCAAGGATGACAACTTGGGCCAATTTCGAAATAACCATTGTTGGATTTTCGTGTAAAATGAGCTCTTTCTAAGACCCAAGGATGACAACTTGGCCCAATTTCAAAATAACCATTGTTGGATTGTAGTGTAAAATGAGCTCTTTGTAAGACCCAAGGATGACAACTTGGGCCAGTTTCAAAATAACCATTGTTGGATTGTAGTGTAAAATGAGCTCTTTCTAACAACTATAAATACGTACATAGAACTTCTAAAGCATGACAGCTGTCTGGGGTTGACAAAATTAATTCCTTGTTTCAAGTGCATTCAGTGAAATAACTTTGAAACATACGTGTCAGAAGGTCAAGTACACCACATTTTCATCTAGACTTACTTGTACATGACTACCCCCTTATGCTTCAAGCTACACTTTGCCAAATTTCAACATTGTTTATAGTTTGTGATTCATGTGACACAAAAATGAGAGATTTCATTATTGCTTTCAATGTTTCTTTTCAAATAAGGGAATAAAAACTAAGATAATAATAAACTTTTAATTATAACATACTTGATAATAATAATTTCATTAAAATATACTGATAGTAAAGTGGTTTAATTAAATTGTCAATGTAATTCAGTAACATATGGAGAAAGGGTTTTAAAAATGGTGCCATCGTTATAAGGTTAATGCAATGTGCATAGCGAGAGCTAGTGTGCACAGAGGTTGTGTCACCCTCCTACTATTGTCTTATGACATCAACATGCACAAGTGCAGTTCACTTTAAACACATTTAGGTGGGAGCTAGTTCAAGCCTAGTGGCATGCAAACCTCATAAGCATTTCTGTGTGGGAGGTAAGTTATCATCTTAAAATTAAAAGATTGTCGATAAATTTTCAGAGCAAGCTCTACTAGTCACATAACATACCTTCTGACATTTATGGTAGCACTTCTGCAATTCAGGCAGTCTCTTTATATCCCGAAAAATCTTCACATATGACTGGGCAGCCTCTATTCCAAAAATAGCACAAGAAAAGTTTTACTAACCATAATGAATGTTTTACTAATATATAAAAACAAGATTTCTTTAATTAGGTATTTTTTACTAAACATTTGTTCACGAATATATGGAGTCAGAGTGCAAAGCAATTTTCAGGTTAAGATTAAAAATACTTTTCTTCACCTGCAAACTGTCAAATTTCATTTGCTTAATCTCCAAAACGTCCTAAATAAATATAAATTTTGTTTTCAGTAAAACTTTATATTTTATTTGTTACTTTCTCTACAAAACTCTATACACATTCGATTAATTTGACCGACCTCATAACCTCCATAAAAAAATATGAAATATATCAAAATTACACTTTTTTCTTTCTAGAATGACTGCAGATTGTAAAAGGGAACAACAGTTGTTTATTCTAAATAGCTTAAAGTTTGTAACAGTACACATCTATTTCTATTTAAATTTTACTGTTTTTATTGCTCTTTGACCTGTGTCTAACTAATAATCCCACCACAAAAGTTGTAAATGACTGCAGATTGTAAGAGGGAACAACAGTTGTTCATTCTAAATAGCTTGAACTTGGTAACAGTACACATCTATTTCTATTTAAATTTTACTGTTTTTATTGCTCTTTGACCTGTGTCTAACTAATAATCCCACCACAAAAGTTGTAAATTACTCAGCAACTGAGCAGCTCACAAGCATACCTCACAATATTTTTTTTCATTATCTTACCTAATCTAACATGCCGAAAAAGTTGCCGGACATAGTACCTATGGATTTCTGTACAATAGGACTGTTGTAACATGCGCTGAGAAACAGTCATCCTCATACACTATGGATTATGAAAAATATATAGGGAAAAAGAGGTGTGCTTTGGACATGATAGCCTTACGACAAAGCATTTGTAATGGAAATTAAGCTGCAAAGCTTTTACGAAGATGCACGGTCGTCAAACAAAGCATGACCGAACGTGGTGACATAAACTGTAACGAATTTTCTAATTTTTACACTTTAGTTGCTTTTGTAATAATAAATAAAAATAAACATGAAAAACAAGAAGTATAGTGCTTACCTGTGTATTCATATGTTTTTGCTGTTGACTATCAATAAAAGTTAAGTCTAATTTTTCTGTAACTAATTATTGGTACTAGTACACTAAATGTTTTTTAATCGAATTAAATAATGTACCTAAAACATAGAATAATAATATGCACAATATAAACGATGTCCTATAACTATTATAATTTATCTGGCTTTCTAACTATGTGATAAGAGCCTTTAAAAATCTAGCTAAGCTTTTAGATCTGAATATTGCAAGATAAATTTTCAAACTGAAGAGACAATACTCTGCACAGAAATCAACATAGTATAATACATCAATTGATAGAATAAAACTTTGGCTTTCTATTGGTTATAATAACATAGTATAAGCTGTCTGAGAGAACTATTAGCAATTTGTGAAAGATAGGATGTGACAGGTGGGTGCGGCAAGTGGGTCTGATTTTTAAGTTCATGTCTCCGTAAACAAATAAGATTGAAGGTTATAAAAATATGCTTTGCCTTAGTACTATCTATATTATAGAGTAATTTATATTAAATTCAATACTTCTCAGAGGGGTGGTAAATAAATTAGAAAAGAGAGAAGACCTAGAGAACAAATGTCACAAGTCTCATACTACTAGAGATTGAGGATTTTTTAAAAAATATTTCCTGATAAAATTAAGAACTTAAAACTTATAACATTGAAATTTGATTTATTAACTATGTTTTCTTGGCAAGTTTATTCATATATAATTATAATAATATATTTATCATATAATTTAATTAAATTTTGAATGTAACTCTAAATAGTTGTGGCATGTGCACTTTGACCTACCCATAGACAGAGGGTTAACTTTATAAAAAACACGTGACACTCTACAGATACCTTAAAATCAAACAACTTTATATGGAAAAGAACAAACTGAAGAAAACTTGATATTCTATCTTTATCACTTTTTCAAAGATATTTACACAGTAAAAACAACTGATTCATTTTAAAATAAAGTAGTAAAATTTGAATCTTTTGTCAAGCTTTTGTGTTTATAATAAACGTGCAAGTAAAAAGACACATTTTAAGATTCCATTACTTATTCATAGTTTTTAGTATTCTCATTATTTGTAGATATAAACTCATGTAATATTTCATTCAGTAACAAGGAAGAACTCACCTACTGATTGGATATTAAATGCTGCTACTAACTGTGGACTCAACAGTGCCTCTAGTCTGTTCTTCAGCTCTTCTAGTTGCTGACGTCGTTCTTTGTAATCAGGAACATCCACCAAAATTTCCTGGAAAAAGTATATATAAAAAAACCAGTCTCACAATATGTTGTTTTCTTAGTGCAAAGCTACACAATGGGGTATCTTCATTCTGTCCACTGCAGGGAATTGAACCTCAGATTTTATTGTTATAAATCCATAACCTTATCGGTGACCCACCAGAAGACTCTTTCTCAAAATATATTCAAGTTTGAAAAATTCTTTCTTGACCATGTTATGCTAAACTTTCACTAAATATACAGTGGAAATGTTAAAAACATATGACAACTTTTAACGAAATAAAAATTGTAAACACATTTTACTTAATATAAACTGAAAAAATTTTTGTATTGAAAATTTAAATCTATGATGTAATGATATTTCATTAACTAATTTACTTTAATGTTAGCACACAGCTACACAATGAGCTATCTGTGCTTTGCCCATCATGGGTGTCAAAACCCAATTTTTAGAGTCATAATCCTGCAGACTTATTGGGTTGCAACTTTTATAGAAATATAAATATTATTGCAAATACTACATATATATACACCTTAAAAATAATTAAAATATTTGAAAATTTTCACACAAAATAAATATGGTAACTATTTTTGAATGAATTCTAAGCTTTTCACATAGTTTTTATTATTATTATTATTATAAGTACAAATGCATGATCCATAAAAAATGATGGGACAAGTACAACCACCTCCACCCCATAGTATACCCTAACCTCTCATTTCATATCTAACCGAAGTAAATATATTTTGCAAAATCAAACTTGACCAAAAAAAAGAGGCAGAAAAGTTGGTAAATTCCTTTGCGAGCCAATCAAAGTTAAGATCATTAATGAAATGAATTCATGGTGTATTCATAGAATAATTATTGGTAAAAATCAGTTAGATTAACAACTTCTAATATATGAAAAAGCCAGTGTGATTTAATAACACCATGTTCCAACAATGGCTTTTACCTCATGTTGCTTAGCAACAAAAGTATAACCTAATATTGTTGTTAGTCTATGTGCTGAAAGTTTAAAATGAAATTTATAGACAACAAAACTGAAAAAATATATGTTGGTTTCTTAATTTACAGTCTCCGTTGATTAAAGACAATTGTTTTTTTAATTAAAAACACTGGTGGTATAACAGAAAACATCTCAATTCAGAAACAATTTAAATTTAAAATTGAATCAATATTTTTACTTTCATGATAAATTTTGTGCACTTGACTCTAGGATAAATGATCCCACACTATGTCTTTACTTTAGGCTTATTATACCAACACTCACTACACTTATAAGGTTTCACAGCAAACCACCCTCATGCACCCCCGTCACTAAAATCATAATGAGCAAACAGTAATTGAACTATTCTATCTGAATAAAGTGGAGTGACACACAATGGCTTTTATATAGGTTAGGTAATGTGATGTAACACACAGTGGTTTTTTATATAGGTTATATATATATATATATATATTATTGTCACTTTATTTTTTTTTATTCAAGAAATGGTTCATAAATATGTAGAAAACACAGAATCTAAAATCTACAAAAAATCTTGCATAAAAATAATCAAATTTTTTTT